AATTCGCATAGGCGTTAAACCAGATTTGTTCAGAAAAACAAAATGTGGATGACCCTGAATAATTTGAAGTCAGCACTAGCATTAACTTTAACATATCCATCATAAAAAATCTAGCGAAAAATTATCAAATTCACTCGATAAATAAAATTTAGATAACTCTGTACTATTTACAGTTCTGAGTTCAACGAATGTCCAATTGTATCACAATTCACAACTGTCTAGGATGAAACTGAACAGTAATGGCTTATATTCGTTATATATAAAAATGGACACCTTCACATAGCAAAATATACAACTATTTTATATATATATATGGATTTCTGTCTGTCTGTTTGACCTTTATTCATTCCTAAACGGCTAGACCGATTGTGACGAAATTTGGTACAGAGATATATTAGACTTATAGAGGCAGAWGRTAGGCTCAGTTAAAACGTGAAACAGACATTTTGAGATTTTTTTTTATTAGATAAAATAGAATATTTACAATCTGTAATATTTGTACACACAATAAGTAAATTTGATAATTAATAATTAACATAACGTGGATGACGTGAGGAGGGAAGCCCACCAGTGTAGATACCCTCTAAAACATTTTTAAATTTACGAAATTTTTGTTTATTTGTAAATGGTTGCTTATTAATTATTATTATTATAAGCTAGCTGAACCCGTACAATTCGTAGCCTGTTAAAAATTTTACCTCTTGTATGTCTCAAACTAYAACAATACTTAATTATACAAACTTATAATATAAAATGTCGACTAAAATTACCGACAGGCGACAAATGAAGAGCGTTTTGAGTTCTTCCAAAGTCTTTATATCYAACCAAATTTTTTTAAGAAACCSACTAGGTATATTCCATACTTTAATATTTTCACACACCGTTGTTTATAAAAAAATTATGTAAATTGTATTTAAAATCAAATTTGCTCCCGAGAAAAATTATTTAAAACATAAAATGCCTGTTAAGTAAAAAATAAATTGCAATTCATGGCCTGAAATCAGAATCGGCTTTAGTGTTTTGCCTAGAGGGGGCCAATATTTTTTAGTATGTATATATCAAAACTATAATAAAATAAGTCAGCAAGTGTTTCTATAATATAGAAAAATGAGTGTTATTATTTAGAGTAAAAATGAACAGTTTATGATATATAAAATTAATAAAATAAAAAATATATAACCTTAACACTAGCTGGTAATGTCTTTAAGATAACTAACAATTCATGAATTAGAGAATATAAAAATATAGCTCTAGTTGCGGCTATGCATGTAACACAATAACACATTATTTACATAATTTTATAATGAATAGAAGGCACATGACACATTATTTACATAATTTTATAATGAATAGTAGGCACTAGGCACATAACATATAATTTGATAGGTAGGTTAAAATAAAAGGAAAATTAATATCTAAAACAAAACATCAAATTTTTTCTTCGTTCTTTTTAATTTGTAAGTTATGGTTAAAATTGTATTTCTATATTAATCAACCTAACCTAATTAATAATGAACTCATGGCTCATATGCCTCCTCCCTAAAAGCCGCTCTGCCTGAAATGTTTAAACAA